TCAGTGGCAGGTGTTGGGAGCAGCCCTGCCTCCAAACACTTGAAGGGAAGGCTCATATTTAAATTATTTTCCTGAAGCAGAACTGCTAGTACTCTTGGCGATGTAATTATCACCAAACCTGCAAGCTGCCTACTGCCCTTTCCTCCCACTGAAACCAACGAGAGTGGAGGATGTTCAGCCAATTACACCGCTTGCCCAGTGAATAAACAGTTTACAGAAAGGATGCACGGTTTTGAGGTGCTCTATAAACATCTATTAATCAATCATTAAACAATTAAGATAATTCTCTGTTCTTTTTCTCCGGCACTCCCAAGTTGATGGACGTTCCTATGGCAACGGAGGAGCAGGAGTGGGGAGGGGGGGGAATGCAGGGCTCGGGGAGGCGATGCCAGCGCGGGACCTTTGCTCCCCAGCCCTCCAAAAGTCACGCAGGGCAAGCGGAAGGGGGCTGCGAGAGGTGACATGCAGGAAGGAGGCTTTCAATTTTAATGGAGATTCTTACGATGACAGTCTATGCAAATAGGTACATGAAAGAGGAGAGGAAGCAGACTGGGGGAAGGGGGAGAGAAATTAACCCTGGTTCAGATTTCAAAGCAAAGCCAGGAATAATTTTTTGGAGCTAAGAATAGTTGCAATGCACCTTGTTCTCCTTGGGCTCAAGCCCTGCATAATCCTTAGGCTCGGGGTCTGAAATGGGAGGGGAGGGGGAGGGAGGCCAGACTGCACAGTCCAGGAAACGCGGCTGTCCAGGCTGCAGCTCCATCACCTTTATGGTTCCTTTGTGTCACCAAAAGCGACTATTTAACAAAGGACCCGGCCCTCTGCTTCCAAGGGCCCTTGCAGTTGTTTTGCAAATGAGATTGCTTGATTGGTGAGCAAAATCAGAGATCTTTTGAAGCTGTTGCCCAGGAAAGGGGGAGGGAGAAGGGTTCAATCATCCCCCACAGTAAGCAGTAGGATCTGCCTGGTCCTATTGAGGGCGGTTGAGAGTGAACCAAAGCAACTTTTGGATTGACTTCTGGGTAAAATGCTTCAGAGATGCCAGAAAGACCATGCAGCCGCTTCTGTAAAAAGAGCAGGGGCTGCTGATGTCCTAAGAGAAACCCCTGTTCCTTTTGCAGCCCCCTCGGGGACAGTGGGGCCAGAGGCTGTCCTGGCTCCAGCCAGCCCCTAAAGCAGGCAAGCAGGGGCTTTTAGCTTGTTGGAGAATCTGCTCGACTGAGACTAAAGGACAGCCTCACCACTAAGACCAGGGCACTGGTCTGCACCCCTCAGGAAGCCTATTGGTGTAGATCATGTCAACACCTATGCAGGCGCTCACTGGGAGATCGCTGCCTTTTTTTTGATCAGCAAAGAGCTTCTGCAACACAAGAAGTGCCTGTGGGGAGACAGGGATGCTGCTGACAAGAAAGGATGTTTTGTTGGAGGTGAACCGGAACGGTGCTCTTTGCTTCAGCTGCCCCCAAATTTTTCATTTCAGTTGAGTTCAGCATCGAAACGAACTTTCCCGAAAAGGCCTCTCTTCTTTCCCGTGCGTGGGGCTTTGCGGCTGAGCTGCATTTACTGAGAACAACGTGGACCTTGCCCAAGCTTTATGGGAGCTGGGCAGAGCTCCCAGGGAGCACAGCCCAGAGGAGAGAATGGGACCCAAACCCAAGGAAAGGCGCTGCCTACTTTAATGTTAAGCAGACTTGAAGTGAAACGTTTCATGTCAGTTCAACAAATTGAAACAAAACATTCCCACCTCAGAAACGTCAAAATGCTTCACTTTGATCCAAAAAATGTCAAAACAGAACACGGAGACATTTCGGAGCATGACTCTTTTAATTCCAGGAAACAATTTTTTCCTATTTTTTTGCCCCAGTTTGCTCTGTTCTGGAAAACAGAAACAGAAATTCAAAATTTCACATAGCTCGACTTAGAGCCATTTCCCACAGGAGGGACCAGTATTGCCCTGTACACACATGTGTGCGTGAGCACTCTCACTTGCACACACTGTACATCCACTGTGCCTTCCAGTGGCCCCCCCAGGCCTCTCTCCAGACTGGTTTCACCACCCCTGTAGCTGCCTGACCTCCAGCCCCATCACCAGAGGATGCCCTTTGTGGAAGGGGTCCCAAGTGTCTGGGTTTACCCAGTACAAGTGCGCTGTCAAATGCAAGCGGTGGCTGTCCACAAGGTACCCTAAAAACAGGGTGTTTAGGGTTGGCACAGCCATCAGTGCCACCACCACAGGGTTCACATGCAGCCCAGCTCCCTTTAGGGTCCTCCTGCTCTCAGGTGGGGCAGACGCAGGGTTTGCTCTGACCCATTTCAGACTTCATAGTTCGGTGCTGATGTGAATAGCGAGGAACTGGTTTGAATAACCCCCTGCTTTAGGGAGCAATGCTGAAAACAGCATGTACTAAAAGAGAAGAGGGAAAGGTGTGGGAATTTCACAACTTTAGCATAATTTTACCAACAATCTTATTTCATATGGCTGGGATTATGGATCCTGTCCCCTGAGCGTGGTTATGGAGAAAGGCGACACGCTCCTAATCACGTGCCACATGTCCAAGGTGGATCCAAAGGTCTATTTTCACCTCAGTAGGTGCAATCCTAACACCGCATCTAGTAACAGGTTGACGACTTTGTGCGGGCATGACCTAACAGTGCTCCTGCCCTCCAGCTGAAGGCTGAAAACTTCTGTGTCAGTGGCCCCTTGGAGAAAGCGCTCCCCTCCTCTGTGCCAGACGTTCTAAATCATCTTTGTGCATTTATTTTTCACAGTCTTTCAGTGTTGATTTCCTTTCCACCATGTGTCTCCGAAATAGGGGCCCTGGATGCCGGGTTTGTCTCTCGTTTCTACAGGGTGAGGTGTCCACAGGTGGGTGGGCTGTGGCTCTCTTGCACTGGTGGGCTAGTTGATGTGGCCAGACTAGCCATGTACACCTGAGCCCTCTGGGCCAGACTGGCCCCATCTGGGGCTCCACACTCCTGCCAGACTCTCAGCACCCATTGCCTAGGTTGCTCTGCTACAGACCAGGCTTTCCCCGGTGCCTTCACCTGGGGGAACTTCTCCATACCTTGGTCTCTTCCTTACTGGGGGAAAAAAGCTTCTTTTAAATATTTCCCAGCAGGCATTTCTGGAAAAGCAGCAACTCTCATCAGTCCTGGGCATACACGGTTGCACTGGGAGGTATATTTCTCTCATTTTGTATAAATAACCCCTAATAATAATTCATTCTGCTAATTCTCTGATTCTCCCTGTCTCTTCCAAACCCATTCCCCTCTAAGCGTGTAAAAATAAACTGCAGGAACAATTCATATTGCATCTACAGCTAAACAAACTCTCCTGGGTTCCACTGTTACCCAGACAGTACCCTCCAGACTCATTCCCTGTGGGTTGGCAGTAGCTCAGCACTTGCAGCCTCTCTCAGAGGCTTGGATCTGATGCAAAATCAGTCTTCTTGCTGAGACCTTGCAGTCCTTTCACGAGGCTCCTGCAAAAGCCTAAAAGAACATCCAGAAGGCCCTTATCCATCACCGGGCTGTCCTGGGCTGCCAGAGGAGAGTGGATCTGAGATGGGCTGGCTTCCAGGTGATGATTGTTCCCACCTCCTAGGAACAGCTTGCAGCAGCCTTGCCAATTGCCAGGATGCATCCCTAAATATAGGAAGGTTTTGGGCTTTAAAATGTGATGCAGATGATTAAGAGATCTTCCTTTTAGGGAAAAAAATTGTAGTGACACTTCGTGGAAGCAGTATATCACCTTTGAGAACTAAGGCATGCATTGTTTTAAAAAGATAATAAGATAAAATAAAGCATAACCACAGGAACAGAGGATATCAGCATGTAGGTTATATTCCAAAAGTCTCCCCAGTGAAGTTTCAGATGTGCTCAGTTGCCATCACCCCCCCTTGAAGATTATTTCAAGGCTGTACTAATATGTGGATCATGAGTGTGGCTGTTACCATGGGCACATATCTAATCAAATGGGGTCTAATTATGTATATTACCCAATTTGGCACTTTGAGAGCACTTCAGTGATGATTCTTCTGCTTGTCTGACAAATAACATGATTATTCAGTAAGCTGCATACGTTTTAATGTGGCAGTTTTGTTCTTTGATAAGAAACTGTCTAGCTAACCAAAAGCGCTTTTCACTTGCAAAGGCATAGCTAATACTGGCAACTAGATTCAATTAATTATGTTTAATAAGCTAATAAATACATTTAGGACTCTCTGTGCTATGCTCAGTCACCTTTAGAAAACACTTCATCATTAGTCATCAAAAATTAAATGGTGTCTTTTTTTCAAGGATGAGGGCACTTTAAAAACTTCAGCTTAAGATTATAAATTACAGTGCAATTAACTTTAAAAATAGATTTTAAAATTGATGCTTGCCTTTAGCTTTAAGAATGAAAACAGATTCTTCATATATGTCTAGGATTTATAGAAGCAGCAAGGAATTTTTGGGGAGTGCGTCAGAAGTAAGTTGGGGATGCTCATTCTTAATGCTCTGGCTGTATGAAAAAAGTGTAGAAGATGAGCGCTGCCTCTCCCACCCTGCAGCAATGCTCCCTGGCACAAGCAGAAAGCAAGGCTTTTTCTGTGACACCCAGGAAAGGAAGGAGATGGCCAGCAGAAGGACAGGGAGATGGGCAGTGACAGAGGCTGCAGAGCTGAGCTGTGCTTTAAATCACCTGTGACAATGAGCTGGGAGAGGAGACAGGAGCTTGTCAGGCTTGGGTCAGCAGGAGCCAAACCTCTGGGGAGATGAGTGATCCTACCTGTGCAGGCACCGCTGCACACAGCATCGTGCTTTCCTCCTCTCTCTCTCTGTCGACTCTTCACTCACATAATTTTCTCCAAAGTATATTCAGGGAAAGGACAAAGAAAGACCCCTCTGGAATTTACCCCCACCCCATGTTGTTTTACCTTCTCTCCCCAAGCACACCCACACAGCTGCCACAGAGAAAGACACGTTGTCGGGAGAACCTGCCAGTTTGAGCAGCTTCTTCCTTCCCCTCTCCCATGCACCAAACAGAGACTGCGAGGAGAAAGGGAGCTTGTAAATCACCAGGGGACCAGATGCACACCGCCTTGTGTGCTTTTCTTCCTATGACAAGGACTCCTCAAGTCTGCAAGAGACAAATATGCGAAGTGTGGCGTTAGGATGTTGGGTACAGGAATGAAACGAGCTGTTGAGCTGCTGGAAACCACTCAAACTGTGAGGCATCAAGACTAGCAGTAGAAAAGTGTCATCTCCCAAAGTCAGTGATGACTAGGTAAGATCGTGGCAAGAGGACTGAGGAAGTACCTGATGGGATGCCAAGACTAGCAGTAGAAAAGTGTCATCTCCCAAAGTCAGTGATGACTAGGTAAGATCGTGGCAAGAGGACTGAGGAAGTACCTGATGGGATGCCAAGACTAGCAGTAGAAAAGTGTCATCTCCCAAAGTCAGTGATGACTAGGTAAGATCGTGGCAAGAGGACTGAGGAAGTACCTGATGGGATGCCCCATGTGATGACCAGATGAGAGATCACTGATACAAGCACAAGTCGTGGTAGGTTGACTTTGGGGAAATTCTTTTGGAAACCCATTGGTGAACCCAGTCGCTGATCAGAAAGAAGAAAAGGACTCTCTGCCCTTGCAGCCCCAGTGGAGGACCCCCAGGTAAGCGCCAGTTGCCCACTGTCATCAGCACAGGGTACCCTGCCCCGATCACCAGTCGGGTGGTCTGCAAGGGCACGACTTACCTGGTGTGGCCGTGCTGTGTTGAGAGGTGGTGGTCCTGCTCCAGCTGGTCAATTAGCACATGAATGAGCCAGGATGATTGCTGTTTGTATGGCTGTCGCTGTCGTGCTTAGGTTAGATGCTGTTTGTGTATAATTGAAGCATTAGTAATAAAATACATAACAGTAGTTGGAATATGGGTATCCTGGTAAAAGATGGGATCGTACCATTCAACACAGCCCATGTCAGTTTCCATCCAATTCATCCTGCGGTCTCTGTGAAAATCGACCTTGAAGTTCCCAGCTTCAGTTGCTCTGTGACACCAGGCACCACACGGCCTGCCCTCCCTCCCCCAGCCCCCACATCATTAAAAATAATTAAACTCCTGTCCCGTGGTGTCCAGGTGTCACCAGACACCTGGTAAGTCTCACCTCTAACTACCCGCTCGGCTGTGCTGGAGCTGCCTGTGGGGTTCAGACGCTGCCTGTGGGGCTCAGCCCGCTCCCACCGAAGGGCCGGGGGAGCTGCTGGCAGGGCACCCCCAGCTCTGCTCGGCTTCCCAGGGCACAGTAGGGAGCCACAAGTTAATCAGCAGTGCCCCGCCGCAGGTCAGCACACCCAGCTATCTGTATTTTCCCTTGTTTGTCATTTTCCATCAATCTCCATTTTCCTCCAAACCTCTTTGGTGTTACCAATTAATCCAGAGGGTTTTCATTTACTCGGGCCGCCCAAACCAGCAATACACGAATACCCCCCACAATCCCTGCCAACAGCTCGTAATGCATTTTAACTGCTCCCTGGCCTTTGATGTGTTAGCCTTCTGGGCAACATTATCATTACCCTTTATATACCTCCGAAGGTGAACGCAGCGCTGCCCAGCAGCTTGCACATGCTAAGTGCAAGCTAGGGCTTGCTTGTGTCCCAAATAAAGCACGTTGTCCTAGGAACCACGCTAGAACAGTGCCCCCTCTGCTAGCAAAACCCCCAACAAGCCCCAAATAAACAGTAATAACATCCTGGGCTCTGGAGGGCTTCTTGTCGAGGTTGAGGAGCAAACGTGGAAAGGGATGGGACAAACCAAAAGGGGCGCTTACCTGGAGTGAAGCCATAAGTGGGGGAAAGGAGTCCTGGTAGGGTCTGGAAGTGTGGGCACCACGTCAGGGTGAGCAGATGGTGTGCCTTGCACACGTGCACTCGCTGGAAGCAAAAACACCATTTAACGAAGCACCAGATACGGCCAAATTCAGGAAAATGTAATGGGCAATTTTCAGGGCGCCAGGGGTGTTGCAGTCCCAGACCGGGGCATGCTTCACAACTTTGGAGCCATTTAGGGTTTTGAGGGCTCTCCTCATGGAAACAGTTACAATTGCATTTCTCAGAGAACATAAATCAGCATGGGTGGCGTCAGGCTGACGATTTGGAAGGGCGCTCAGCCCAGCTAGGAAAATGTGAAAACATTCGAGGGCCTGAAAGCTTCGTTTGAGATGGTACAGGTTAGCTGAGGGTGTCCCACCATGGCCACACGACTCACGGGCACTTAGGAGCTGGGGATGGAGAAACAAGCTCCCTGTAAGAAGCTATTTTGGGGGGAAACGATGGGTAAGGGATGTCAATATGGGTATGTGCAGTGGGAGGTGGAGCAAAGTCAGTTCTAAGGAAAATTGTCAGAGTCCCCAAGCCCAGCCAAGTATGGAAGAGATCCTGGCCTTGCCCAGCCAGGTTGTAACCTGCTCTGCATGCTCTCTGACAAAACATCTCCACAGTCACCCTATACCTTCAGAACAAAGCCCTGCTAGTTGTTGTCCTCCTCTACCTACCTAGAGCGCTGATGTTTTATCTCTTATAATTCAAAACTACCTTTGCTTTAGCATAATTTCCCTTTTGCAGGCATCATTCTGCAAAGGCTGAGCTGGGCTGTGCCCCTGCAGCCAAGAGCATGGTGTAGTGAGCACGGCCAGCCCCCAAAACCCTCCAGTTCTGCAAGGGGCTTGCTCTAGATTAAACTAGGACTGCTCCAAAAAGCTGGGAGAGAGGCAGAGAAAGGGGCTGCTTGCAGCACTTTGCTGCATTGGTCCCTTAAAAAAAAAAAAAAAAAAAAAAAAAGAAAAAAACCTCTCCACCACTTGACACCCAGACATTTGCACTGCACTGGGCTGGGACTACACCAGCCAAGAATAACTTAGGCCATTGAATTATTTAAGCAGTTGTTCGCACTCAATTAGATTTTCATGAAAGGTTAAGCAATAGGCTGATTCACAGAAACCTCTTCATGTTTATGGGCCAGCGGGAATTAGAAGCCCGAGGGAGTTGTTTTTTTTTTTAAAAAAGGACATTGGATGCTTTTATTAAAGGATCCTTTTTAAATATGGGCGCATAAAAAAAAAAAAAAAAAAAAAAAGAGGAATAAGCCCTTCTCCACTCTCCCTGAAAGCACCAAGCACCGAGGGATAAATAGATCAAAGAGAGGAGCTATTAAAAGAGGTCCAGGGGGGACCTGGTTTGAAGCAGGGCTTGGGACTCCAGACAATAGGCTGCCATTTTGAAGCAGCCACAGCCCAGGGTGCTCATGACAACGTGGTGGAAAACAACTGTCGCAGGGTACGACACTTGCTGGCAAAATAAACGGGCCCCAGAGAGTTCATTGTGCAGTGGCTGCTGACGTGCAAAGCCAGCGTTGAAAAACATAAACTGTGCTTTCTAAAAATATAAAAGAGCAGTGCCTGAGGGAGGGCGGCTCGGGGCGGGAGAAGCCGAGGGAAGAGACGGGCTTTGTTGCCACATCCCTGCAGGATTTTCGGGAAGGCACCGTGCCTTTCCATGCCCCACACCAAGAACAGGGTCACACTGGAGGCCCCGCTCACAGGAGCCACCACGCCATGCAAACAAGCCCCCCCTTCCAAAATCCCCTTCCCTTCATGAGCCCCCCGGAGGAGATGGCATCCCCCCCAGCAAGTCCTGCAGGCTGGAGATCATCCTCCAAGCAAAAACTGCCGGTTTGGGGAGCGGGAGCCACACACCCTGGCTGTGACTCAACACTTCACCACCAGGACAGGGGGGCTTCAGGCAGGTTTTGATGCCTGGAAGGTCTGACACACACAGCCAGACGCTCCCACGCAGGGGTGATCCCAGCTGCCACCACCACCACCACCAGCAGCTGCTTTTCCAAACCCCCAGAGATGGAGAGGGTTCCTCAGCCACAGCAGTAGCCAGCCAAGAAAGAGGGGCAGAAATGGTTAAAACTAGCTAGCAAATAAAATTCCCAGTAGAAATACACGGTCCGGGCAGAGAAAAGCATCCTTTTTCCAGCACTGCCAACCCCACATACTCAAAAATTATGCGTCAGGCTCCAGAGAATCACGGCTTGAAAATCATAAGGGGTTTTGTTCTGGTTTTTAAAGAAAATTATGAATGTTTGAGCTTTTCCTAATTGCACTCTGGTTTCTTGAACTTTATGATCGCATTTTCAAACTTTTCTCCAAATCCCCGAGGGCTACAAACTTCTACATTTTTATTATAAAATAAAGTTGAGAAGCTCACCTAATGCCCACAGCTTTGGGGCAAACAGCTAAGATCAAAAGACTTACGCTAAAATGAGGAGAATAGGAAATACTGGAGATCTTGAGAACGAGCACCCTGCAGTACACACGTCTCTCACCATTTTTCTCCAGTGTTGCGCAAAAACACGTTTAGAAGATATTTTGCAGTTTTAACAAACATCACGTTGCTTAAGTACTTCCTTTGCCAGCGTGAAGAGCAGGTCTTCAGTGACATTCTGCCTCCAAGAACAACGTTGCTTGCAGACAGGGGCTGCAGAAAAGTTAAAACTGAAGCTGGTGTTCCAGGCTGAGGGGACCAGAGGAAATTTCCAAGAGCACGTTGTGTGCTCGGGGTTGCTGCTGTTCATGGAGCAGGGAAGGCTGGGAAACATTATCCAAGGTCAAATCCAGGCCCGACCTTCCATCTTTATCCTGATCCATACAGCAACTTACTGCCCAAAAGGGGTAGGTGGGTGCCATCCAACTTACTTTCTTCGTCTCCGAAGGTGCTGAAAGAACTGCCATGTGTCTTTCCAGGGATACCTGTGTTACGGGGCAGTTAGGCTGTGATAATATATCAGCCTGTAAAGAGCTCAGTCATCCTCCAAGATTAAAGGTTGATCTGAGTGCAGACTCACTGTTGAGCCTCCTGAAAGGCTCTGGTTTGTAACATCCTGATTATGATTGCTGCCTGTAAGAGAACGTGATACTCTCCTTTGCACTGGTCCTGTTAAGTTTATTTACTGTAACACTTGCTGAAACATCCTCTTGTAGAGATAATGGCTTCCTTCGGTTGCTGTCAGAATGAACAAATGGAAATAAAAGCATGCCACTAATAATTGTGTCCTACTCTAATTAAAGCAAGACAAAAGCGTTGCACTGCCGGGTTTGGCTCACCATGGCCAGGGTGCTTGGACAAGCCCAAGGGCAGGGGCTCACCACAGGACTGCCAGTAACTGAAAGACAACAGTGCCTGATGGATTAGTGGAACTCAAAGCCACGAGGTTTCCACCAGCCCAGAAATTCGGCAAAACACCCTGGAGGACTATGCAGACATTTGGTGCCCAGATAGGGATCCGGTGCCCAGAGGTGCTGCTGTGGGCAGAGCTCAGCACACGTGGGGCTGAGGGGCAGCCAAAAGGGGAAGGCAGGGGGTGAAGTAAGTTTTAAGAAGTAAGCAAAAGTTTTTCAACAGCCCTCTTGAACTTTTCTTGGCCCAACTGCACCATGCAGAAGGGCCAACAGCTCTACTCAGGCAGGAGGCAACAGGACTTTCACAAGATGGTGCTCATCTCCCAGGGTGCTGGGGACCCTCACCACCCCCTCAGATCGATGGAGGATGCACCTGGAGCCCACGACACCAAGCTCCCAGCCTTCCCAACATTGCATCAAGACATGGTGGAGCCCAGTATCACATCTCCCATCCTCCAGGGTTTTCATCCTCACCACTAGAATGTCCCTGCCTGCAGAGGTAAAAGAGAGGCAGAAATTTGCTTACCTGTGTCCTACAGCATAGGTAAGCAAGGAAATAGGTCCAGCTCTCTTCCCCTGGAAGCAAGCAGTGTAACCCTCTACATGTCCTGCCTCTTCAGGCTGAATCAGGGGTCCATCACAACGGATAAAAGTTGAAGAAAAAGACAACCAAGTAAGTGGGGGAGAAAAAAAGAGCAAAACTCTCCCCAAATCCAAAGTAAAAAGCAGTGGCATAATCTCGTCATTGAGCACTCACAGAGGTGACCATATCCAAGCACTGCTGGACACCCAGATATTTATTCAGGATTGCTCTGCTGATCGGTTGCGGATCATGCAAGAGCTGGGCCAGTAGCCCAGGACTGACCCAGGGACAGCCCAGGCTTCAAGCATCCCTTGGGATGTGGTTTTAGATGTTCCCCCTGAGCTGAAGCTCTGCCTTTTGCAGCCCTGCTGTCCCCTGTGCCCACTTGGGACCCTCCTCGGGCTGGCACACCTGGGGCATCCTGATGTGCCACGGGAGCTGGGCTTTCACACCAGCCTTTCTGTGGCTGCTGGGAACCCAAGCAGGCTTAAAAGAAAGCCCTTCCGTAGCTAAAACGTGCTGTGCTCACCTCTTATTAAGCTCAGATGGCTTCAGGAGCTTTCTTCACACAGGGGACAGTGATAAAGCAGGGAGCAAGACCGAGACTGACCCCAGGCACCTGCCCAGTGGCTTTCCTGGTCCTGAGCCTCCTGAACAAGTGCTGTGTGGCTCTCAGGGAGATCTCTGCTGCTAAGCAAGATAACACAGCCTCTTCTCAAAGCTCCTGACACACCTATGGGGGAGAGACAAGTCTGATCTTCTAATACGCACAGCCTACAGCTTTCCTGTAAAGGCTGTAACTACAAGAGGAAGAGAGAGGAGAGACAAGATCGTTTCCAGGCACAGCAGTGATGCAAGGATGCCGAAGGAGCAGACAAGAACCAGGCAAAGCCATATTGTCCAAAGTGGCAGCACTCTTTTCCTCCTTATTCGCCCTGTAACTCCAAAGTGTCAGCTTGGTCCTGCAAAGTCAGGTGTGCACTTAAACACAGCTCTGGCTTGGACTGCATTACTTAAATTATGTTTTCTTTTTGTTTTACAAAAGAGAGATTTTTCCTGAAGGATGGTGGCTGAAGGCATCACAGCAGAGTTGAGGAACAAGAGGAGATGGAGCTCAGCATGTCGACAGGTAATTTACCCGAACTGATTTGCAGGTGAAGATTAAAGTTTCCAGGCAGCTAAAGCTGCACGTTGCTGGCTGGAGCATGGTCTCAGCAGCTCGAGGATGATGTCTGGAGCAATGTCAGGACCTGGACTTTGCTAGCATGCCCCCGACACCCTCAAAGGCACGGAGGAGCGTGGGATGCTCTCCTCTGGCGCTGCATGCGTGCTGCAAGGGAACCCCCAGCTCTCCCACTGAGCCTTCACGTGCAGGCACTGAATTGAGTGGTTCTGGGGCATTGCTGCTCTGTGGCCACTGGAGAAGTCTCCCACACAGCCACCTGGTTGTTTATTTCTAAGATTAAACCCTGGCAGTAGTTTTCATGCCTTCTCTTTGACATGGAAATTTCTCTCTCTCATCAAGGCAATTTGGCTGCCCATCAGATGGGAGCTTGGGTGCAACAGAAGGGGAAAGACTGGGTGATGAGGCTGCCTTTTCATAGACCTCCTGGTTCTCCCTTGGAGTTTGAGTAAGGGTCTTGGACTTTTTCAGTAATCCTAATCACTTTATTTCTTATTTCCCACTTACCAAGTCATCTCCTTTATTAAGTCTTCATGTTCACCATGTAGGAAGAAGAGCTACTCCATGTCACTGATGGAGCAGTTTAAAGCTATGGAGGTAGAATTCGAGCACAGGCTACTCGATTAAATTGTGTAAAATAAGCTTTGATACCAATGAAGCACACTCACCTCAGCTCAAGATGCCGTTACCCTCCACAGGTATATAGCATCCACAGCTGGGCAAGGGACTAGGAAACCTTCTGCTGCCCAGATCAGCTCTCCCAAGCTCACACCAAAGAGGCTTCCCACCTGACCAAGAGAAAACACAGTGTTTTTCTGAGCAGTTATCACCCTGCAAATATCAGAAGAGCAGACAAGGCTCATTTCTCCCATAAAGCTAAGAGCAACAGTGAAGGCTATATGGATTGGATACAGGCTTAAGGAAGCTCCTACTGGCCTGCCAACAGCATTTTACCAAAGTTTCAAGGAAACTTAAGCTGTCAAATTTTTATGAAGCTATTTTTGACATCTAGTCCCTAAGGAAATGGAACAGTCAAAATTAACCAGACCTACTAATTCTGTAGTTAACAAGTGACTACAATAGACAATAAATAATATCTCTTTTCCCACGGAGAAAAATAAGCATCACAGACAAGAAAGTACTTCCTTCTGTGGAGTTCTCTCCCAAAAACATCCACCCTCAAGACAAACCTGCTCCAGCACCAAGCTGACACCCTTCCTGTGGGCAAAGCCACAACCACTCTCTGCATCTGGGAACATGGGGTAACCCCAGTGCTCCCCTCAACCCTTGGAAAGATCCCCATCTCATCAGCACAGGGGTTTCTACCCCAGACCTGCAGACTGCTCCCCACCAAGGGAAAACTGAGCCTCTCCCACATATCACCACGTCGCACTGGCTCCTTAGAGAAACCCAAGCAGGTATCAGAGTGGTCAAAAATCCACGGCAATCTGTGTTTTCTATCTGTAAAAATCACCCATCTCCAGAAGTGGATGGAGCTCTTGGCCTGAAGTAATTTAAAACCCCATAGGGTAAGTAACACCACTGAAAGGATTGGGCAAGACCCTTCACTGCCACTAAGGTCCTTTGGCACTTCATGGTGCTGGTGGAAAGCCTTGCTCTAGAAGTTAGGAGGAAGGGGCCACCTACAGAAACGTTGGTCTCAATGGCTGAGGTGCCTCACTCAGGCTCTTGGGAGCAGCTTTCCTTTCTCCAGAGCCCCCCACCGCTCAAGGCATAAGCAATGCCCACCTGGCCAGCAAGCTCAAATTTAAAACAGCTTCCCTTAAAGGGAGAAGAGGCACCGGAGTAAGCTCGTTTTTCACTGCTGATCGACCAGAGCATGCCCAGCTGACACTGCCAAGTCCCCTCCGGGTCTCCGGCTGAGGCAAAGCCATCAGTAAAATCACAGGAGGGTGCACTATCCCCTCCTCTGGCTGTTTAAAATAAGTGTCACTAAACCAGACAGATGCTGGCGCTGTCTCTCAGCAGGCGCTAATTTAGCCCATACGGAGGGCTCTTACATCATTTGTTCTGGGCACAGCTTAATTGCAAAATTAATTATTTTCCTATCAAACAAAATTGTATAAGAGGGTAGTCATGGGATTTTTAAGCCTGACGGATGCTAAATGGGATTTGAATAAATACAAACAACTTTGGCTCCCGTCTGCGCTCTGGACCGCTAAGAGAGTAGCATTGCCGGGGCAGGGAGCCAGTGGATGCCCGGTGGTGGGGCACAGGACACGGTTGCAGAGGTGCCCAGTTCCATCCACCCTGCTGTGGGACGCCGGGCTGGGGCCCCCATCCATGCTGGAATGCCATGGCAGACACAGCTGGGCAGCCAACAGCAGATTGCATGGACTTCCATCTCCAGCATGTCCCAGGGGCTGCGGGAGGCCTCCAGGGCGTGCTGCTGGTATCACAGCAGGGCTTTCAACCTCACTGCAGGGAGCCAGCAGGACCATACAGAGCTGCAGGAGCCTCTCTGTCCTCCCCTAGCCCTGTCCCACTCCAGATGTGCCCTTTCCCTGTGACGTGCCGGGTTGCCATCCCCAGCGTGGAGCTGGCATGGCAACATGATGGCACCCAACGTGGGGATGAGAGAAGAGTGTGGCCATCACCATGGCATCAGGCTACAGCTGCCCTGGCCAATGATACATGGCACCTCTCCCTGAGGCTGCTCCGCACCAGGTGGCGAGTGGTTTGCATCTCAAGACAAGCCCAGTCAGTTCATTCTCAATTCTGACCCTATTGCAGCAGGCTCAGACACAAGCAGAGCCAACCAGTACCCCAGGCACACAACTTTTCCCATGACAGGGCAGACCAGCCCTAGATTTTGATTGGAGGGTGTCCCGTTTAAGTGGGTTGCATCCTCAGATAGTGACAGAAGTGGAAAAAACATGAACCAGGACCAAAACTGTGGCGTGGGAGAACTACAGCTAGTACAAGTTGTGACAAGTCGTGATTGTCCCTGCAGAAGTCCTCCTTCTTCAACCCCCTGACAGGCACTCCAGCACAGTGCTGGCCATGCGGGCAGAGCTGTGGTGGGCAAAAATGCCTCCAAAGCACACAGAAATGAGCAAATTAATTAGCCAAGTTGGTAACTATACAGCAAGAAACCTTACCTGAGCAAAATATGGGCGAGGTCATGTCTTGGATTGCAGGCCAACATAGTGTGAAATATGGCACATCTGCTGAAGTATGACCTTTGGGTAACAACTGGGCTGAGCTCAAATTACATTAAATTCTGCAAAAAAACACAGAAGAAATTACAATCCCAGCTGCAAACTGGAAAAATGGACCTCAGCTCCCCCTCACTGAAAGGGGCATGTGAGCCATTTCATATTTTTCCAGTGAATTTATGAAGCTGCATTATGAAAGCACAAGGCACTGACTCCTTTGGTGTCTTAAAAAAAAAAAAAAAAAAGTCCAGAAAACAGCTCATTTCGAGCTCCAACAGGAAGTCTGCCAACTTGTGTATGTTTGGGGATTTTTTTTTAAATATCTCTTTTAATGCCTCACATTTGTTAAGCATCTTGTGATGTCTGGTGTATCAGACCATATATCTGAATTTTGGAGTATCTGACTTAATAAAAACGACCTAAGCGATGGCACCTATGGTGAGACTTTGTTGTTTTACGAGATCTTTAATCCTCAGAGAGCAGCCAGGCTCTGGGCATGCAACCACTGCCCTCAAGTGGCTTGAGCTGTGCAGAACCTTTCCTGAAGCTCCTCGGCTTCACAAAGAGCAAGGGCAGAGAGAAAAAGACCCCTTGAACGGGGAGAAAGCTGTTTGAGGGTATTTGGGCCGTGGGTGGGGGGAAGGACACCATTTAAAGAACATCTAGAAATTTTCCTTTTAAGAGCTGAGCCTGGAAAGTGATCGAAAGAAGGGAAAATGGACCTTTGGACGTTCTGCCTATGGATGAAATTAGGGGCTTGCTTGCTGAGCAGGCAGCTCCTCCAAGGCCAAAGCCTCCTCTGAACCCAGGTGGACAATATGACCACCAGCAGCCCATGGTGGGCTACCAGCAGCATGCCACCCACCACCTGGACCCCCACTGCCTCTGGCGTGGCAGCCTGCTCCTTCCTCCAGCCAACCCCCTTGGTGGTCCCACCAAGCTGCGGCTTGAGAGCAGGGATGCAGCTCTTCAGCCACATCTGAACGCAAACCCCCCCAGCTCCAGTGCCCGTGTAAAACAACTGGACGTCCCCAGCATGAAACGGGGCGAAATAACGATCCTAATTTATTCTGCTTCTCTCGACCAGTCTCTCCCTTGGTTCCCACGGCATTTCCTGCACTAACTACTGGGAACCAGCAGGAACGCTTGAAGAGCAAACAACTAGCAGGCATTTTTTTAATTATTGGGGTAGTTGAAACATTCTTCTACAGCCCTGCAAAGACAAAGGGTGAGAGCGTTACAACATCCTTGTTTTAAAACCCTGAGCTGCTCTGAGCTTGCCAGGGGGGTCTGGGCGCTGCTGAGGCAGTGACACTTCACAGCCACTTAATTGTTTGCCTTGACCTTTCTCGCATCTTCTGACAGAACTCAGCTCGTAGCTAAAAGGCAAAGGCAGTCAAAACAAGCATTTCTTTAGAATGACCAGGGACCTACGAGAGAAAAAAATCTGAAGGGAGGGGCAGAGAAAGAGAGAAGAAATTGCTGCAGGCTTTGCTGCTGCGTTTGCTCCTAATTCCTATCTCCTAATTGCCTATATGGTACTTGGGCAGCCCTTGTGCCTGGAAATCTCCCAGATGCCCCAGGAAAAACAAAAAACCTGTGCAGTACTGCAGGACACCTCCTCCCACTTGCTTGGCCAGGACCCCAGTGATGAGGCTGGGCTGCCACCACAGGGACAGAGAGGTTCTCTGCCACCTGTGATTTATGGGGAAAGGCCCTTGTCCCCAAGCACGGTGGTGTGGTGCTCACAAGGGTGTAGAAGCAGCCACGGGCACAGACACACAGAGCCCCCGGGAGCTGCAGGCACTGCTCCTGCCCCCACAATGGGGGATGCCCGCACTGGGCTCCGGAGCTGTTGCCGGTGCTTTTCCACCCTGGCTGCCAGCCTGGAAAACAAAGTTCCCAACCAAAGCGAGAGCAAGCTGGGAAGAACAGCTCCAACATTCCTGCTTGCCACCAGCGGGGTTTCCAGAGCAATGGGGCTGGAGAGGCTGAGCCTGCCGAGCTCCCGGATGAATAGGAGCGATGGACACACTACTGCAACCTCATAATACCTTCAGCAAAGGGATTAGAGCTTGGCCATATCGCAGCAAACCTCCCTGGTTACAATCCCCCACCAGAGAGAAAAAGACTGCAGACCTGTAAGCACAACCAGCATGTAACAACTTCCCTGCCTAAAAGGCTTGATATTCTGCAAGCAGAGGACAAGGTTTTGCCGAGAGGGAAAGATTTTCTTGAAGCAGAAGACTGAAGGACCAAGCTTGGCAAGGAAGGGATGGAGCAGCAAGCAATCTCACCGAAGTCTCCTATAAGCACATAAGGTAATGGTGTTCGCTTTCCTCTAGTTTAACATGTTCAGCTCTGTGCGTTTCGGAGTCCCATGCCTGACCTAGGGGTTGGCTCAGGTCGATTTGCTCCATAAATGAAGGCAAAAACCTGCAGAGGGATCAGGGAGCATGGCACCTGGGGACAGGGCGGGCAACGTGCTGCTCCCCAGCGTGGCAGATGGAGGAAAGCAGGTCCCCTGTTCAGCCAGGGTACAGGGAGCAGCAGGGGGATAGACAGAGGTGACCACTGCAGCTGGAGGAACAGTCTTTGCCATCCACCTCTCCAATCCCTCTTCCTGCCCGAGCTCCAGCCACCCAGCTCCTGTTTCCCTGCACATTAGAACTCTACATGCTTGTACTGAGAGCACTTTGCAGGCACAGGTGGTTGAGAGCTACCTACTTGCCTTTCCTTGGGGAGCTGGGGTGGTGCCTGCACCACTCGCTGGATCATGGTGCAGGGTCCCTCGGGTCCTGCACCCAACACTGTGGTGCTTGCAGCAAGCACAGCTTTGCACTGCAGAGGGCTGGTGAGGCTCCTGCCATGCAGAACCTCCTCTCAACACCATGAAGGGAATAACATTTTGAAGGAAAAGAGACATGAAGGTCCCTAAGAGTTTACTAGAGAAACTACTCACCCACGGAGAAATTTTATTCCTAGTCCTCCTATGGAGAGATTGATTTACGGCCAGAAACATAAGCATTTTATAACTCCTGATAAAAATAAAATGCTCTGGATGCATCATATTTTTAAGTGTTGACCTCAGCAGTGTCTTGTGGATGAGAGTTCTTCTGGTTCATTTTCCCTTTAATGAAGTGCCCGTCTTTACGAGTTTTGAACAAGCCTCCCTCTCTCTCCCACCAGCTATGCCCTCGTTCTCACTGTGAGAGCAGATGCTGGAAGAGTTGGGGGACCAGAGTAGAAGCTACACCAAACTGTACAACGTACTACTGAAGGGAACTGAAGGGATTCACAAATTATTGCTCAAAACATGAATTTCTGTTTCAACAGCTGCTAAACGACAAGAGTAGTGGCTGGAAAGAGAGCTCATGTTTTGCTTGCATTAATTGGATGTTATTAGGATTTCTGAATCAAGCCCTTCTTTACCTTCCCAGCTACTTACAGAAGAGGGGACCTCTAAACTCTTCAGCAGGATGAACAAGACCACGGGGGCCTCTGAAAGCCCAGAGCTTTGGAGCCCAGATCATGTGCAGAGCACCTCCTTGACCAGTGTGGCACCACCATTTGGCCAGCAGGCCACAGACAAAGCCCTGAACGTGATCCTTATTGTGGTCCTCTTCATCATCATGGTATCTCTGGGGTGTACGATGGAGATAGCCAAGATCACAACTCACCTCAGGAAACCCAAAGGCGTGGCGATTGCTGTAATGGCTCAGTACGGCGTCATGCCCCTGACAGCATTCCTGTTGGGCAAGCTCTTCCAGCTGGATGCCACAGAATCCCTGGCCATCCTCATCTGCGGCTGCTGCCCAGGGGGAAACCTCTCCAACATCTTTAGTCTGGCACTGAGAGGGGACATGAACCTCAGGTAAGGCAAGCTGAGTGCGTGTTCGTTGCCCAGGCCAATCTAGTCGTATGACTGGTTCAGAAGGTGGCTTAATCAACATTAGCAATCCCCAAGAAGGTGAACAAAGACTGAAATACTAAATCTAGATTATTTTTAAAGCACCCATATTGCTCAATGAATCAATTTGTCCCAGTTTTATAACAAAATGTAATTTTGTGCCTTTCTCTGAAGTATATGGCAGGCTGCTCTTGATGAAGCGGGTGCAGGAACACTTTTTCATCTCTACACAGCAGTACATATAGCATATATATGCTATATCTATCCAGATAGCAGCATATAGTTCTGTGTAAACTGAGCACCCTCTCTGGAGAAGCTGCATCAGTGAGAAACGTTGAATTAGCAGAACCCCACCATCCAACAAACCCTAGTGTTAAAATAATATCCAGGAGGAAAATATCAAGTATTAATTTCTCTTCCAGGAGAAAAATATCAAGTATTAATTTCTCTGTCACTTGTGAATTTCTGAAATGTGAGCTGTACCCATAGCGAGGGTTCTTTCTGAGCTTGTATAGAACTTGAGTCATCTTCCCCCCTCTCTATTCATACCACATCCTTATGCAACCTGATAGCGATGGGGAAACCCCAGTGACAGGTTGGGAAAGAGCAAGGCAAAATCTTATATTAAAGCCATGTGTCCAGGTTAGTAAGAAAAATGAGCGTATTCCATAAAAGAAGCATCATTCTTCTACTGAAGGATTCTTTCTTCATCTCAGCATTGTAATGACCACATGCTCAACGGTCCTGGCAATTGGACTAATGCCTCTGCTTCTGTACCTTTACTCGAGAGGACTATATGAGGGTGATTTGGAGGGCAAGGTGCCTTACAAAGGAATAATCACCTCCCTGGTCCTAATGCTAATCCCCTGCGCCATCGGCATCATCTTGAATGAGAAGAAACCCCAGTACACTGGCTTTATCATCAAGGTAAGAGGTATCCTGTGCTAGTTGCCTTTCAACCAAGGACCTCAAGGAAGTTTTCAAAACTAGAGGCACAGAAATATTAACTTCTTTAAGGCATGCCACAAACCAATGAAAGGGTTGTGGACAGAACTCAAGGCATCCACTTCACCACTTTAATCATTAAAATATTTGCCCAAAGGGAAGTCCTCCACCTTTTCCAGAGAAACAACATTTTGTAGGCAACTTTCTACCTTGCTCTTGTTTGTTGGCTTCAGTTCTAGCTTCATTTTAACTTGTTACAAGCAGCACTAATGAGCCTTATATGCACTGTCCCCAACTACTACCTTAACCAAAGCAACACCACCTTTCCATTTATCTTCTCTACAAAAGAGGAAGGGGGTGAAGACTTGCTTTTAAATAAAACCTGAGGAACTCCATCCAAATTGGACTCCAAAGTGAAGAGACAGGCAGGAGAACCGTGTTTTGCCTCCCAAAATTCCCCATCTGCTTCACCCGCCAAATCACCCGACACCAATGAGACAGTCTGAAAACACAGCCACCACCTTCCACACCTGCTGCAGGCAGACTCTACCTGTGAGTAAAGTGCTTTCCTTCCCACCTGCTTTGAGTGGACTATGTCCACAAAGGGACCTTGGTGGAGAGACACAAAGCAATACCTGAGAAACAAGTGGCTGATGGTGCAAGCACCAGTCATTTTGCATGTAGGCCAGAAAGGTATTTGATTGTTTAAGGTAATACCTCAGGATGGTCTCCTGTTGATTACTTACAACACTTATGTCCATGAAAGGCACTTATGCATTCTCTGTATATACTTACATCTGTGATGGACAGGGAACTGGGTACAGCTGCTTCCAACAGCTGAGGCAGATTCTGCTGGGGATTTCTCTCTTGTCCACATCTTGACCACTTTTATTTTAGGCAGGGATGGTTGTGCTTCTGCTGTCATCTGCTGCAATAATCGTTCTGTCTGTGGCCAGTGTGGGAAGCAGTATCATGGTCGTCTTCTCACCATCCCTCCTGGGATCTTCTGCCTTGATGCCTTTTATTGGATTCCTGCTGGGCTATGTTCTCTCCGCAGTCTTCAAGCTTAATGACCGGTATGTTCCTCCACTCCCTCCTCCCTTCACTCTCTGTCACCAGAAGAATGGAGAGGTATGACAGCTCCGGTCTATGGAGCAATGGTGAAAACGTGGGTTTCATCACAAATGTGCTTTTCTAAAACAAACACTGATTGCAGTCACCCAAAATGCGCCCTAGAAGTATGAGCAGACACACTGCAAGCTGGTGACTCCTACACCTTAAGTGGGGAAGAGAAATGAGTTCAACCTCTGCTCAGCTCCATGGAAAGGGGAGGAGCAGCCCGAGCAGTTTTTGACACAGGTACCTGAACACCACGGAAGGTGTGGAAGGATGTTATGCAGGTTCACTGAATGAGCCAGATGGACGGGTTTGACTTGAGGTCACTAGTGACCTGCTAAGCATACATTACCAGCCTCTCGGTGACGAAGGTGGGGGTCGAAGAAAAGGAATAGCACCAAAGAACAACAAAGAATTAGGGAATGCCAAGAGAGATCAAGCCTGAAGTGGCACAACTGTTCCCCAGTTGATAATTACCCCAAACCAGTCCGTGCATCCATCCGAAACCCCAGGAACTCAGGATGAAAACCTTGCATATAAAACCCACTCCTTCCCTTTCTCATCCCGTCTAACCCCGGTAGGAGGTCCACTGGGCCTCACTATTTCTCACCTTCCCACCCTGGCCTCCTCTTTTCACCTCGGGAGCAGATTCCTTCCCTGCGGGAAGCTGCACCTCCCAGAGCAGGACACAAGGTCTCCAAACAACCATTAAGCAAAAAATCCACATTTATAGCCTGATCTGTCTCTGCACATTGCAAAGGGAGTGCGAGGCAAAACCTTCTAGGGATGGAAGCCAGCGTTGCGCCTCATAAAGCGGCTTTTAGCACAGGCCCACGCACAAAGCACTGCGACAGCAAGGTGGGCAGGCTTCTTTTTAAATTCTTTAAAAAGTGGATTAACTCTGCTGCAATCTGTTTAACATTTCCCCCTTCAGGTGCAGGCGGACAGTGTGCATGGAGACCGGCTGCCAGAACGTACAGCTTTGCTCCACCATCCTGAAGGTCGCCTTCGCCCCAGAGATCATCGGCCCCCTCTACTTCTTCCCGCTCCTCTACTTGCTGTTCCAGCTGGGAGAGGGACTTCTGCTCGTTCTGGTCTTCAGGATCCATGACGGACTAAAGAAACCGAGTGGCAAGTACAGCTTTGCTCCTGTATTTCTTACATTTTCCAATCCAAACCATGTACGTTTACATATAATTGCCCATAAATTGCTGCTTTCTAGGAGCAGAATGGGGTTGCCCTTTAACTCAGTTACCATACCCAGCCAATTAAATACAGATCTCAGGCAAAATTTCACAGGTAACTGAAGAAATGAGAAATTATGACTTCTTTCATCAGCAGAAGGTTTCCTATAGCTATCTACTATCCATATTATCAGTGCTCTGAGGTTTTCAGTTCTGTGCTTAAACTAGGATGGGCATCTTGCAAAGGCTATGATTTGCACTGAGCACACACCAAGAAGTCACACACACACACAGTCCCCCCTAAAACTACAGTAGAACATCAGATATTCTTTAATGCAGCAAATTCCCTTTGCTGTACACTGTTGAGATTCACTTTTGGAGGAGGGGGAGGAGGAGAAGGACAGAACAGTCAGGTACTGCAGCTGAAGGAAAGGAATGTGGATCTTGTGCTAGAGAAGTACATAAATAGATTCAAGCTTAAGTAAAATATACATACAGTATTGGTATAGATGTGAGGTAGATTCTTCTCCAGCTTCAGCGGGTCCTTAACGCTAAAGCCCAGCTGAATGTCCACGAAGACGGCTGGAGAACGCACTGCTGCATGAGGTCCTCCATCACTCATCCCTCTGATGCTTCCAGACCAGCTTTCTCCAGTCTCTCGGGACAGAGGAGCAGCTGCTACAGGAGCACTTTCCTGTATCTTACAGCTGTAGCTGAAGGATGACTGTTACTGGGGAAAAAAATCCCACCCCATTTGGAGCTGCAGTGCAGAGCAGCTGACACTGGGAACAGCCGTACAGGTGTTTGCAAGAACGCTATTAAAAGTGTGGCTTTCCAGGCTCCAATTCACAAATGACTGGAAACAAAACGGCCTAAATATTTTGACAGGACTTCCAAGTTCCTTCCTTTTGCTTTAAATCACCCGGCAACACCAACTGTAGTGGTGTCACAGCATTTCCATAACCTGGGTTCAGAACTGCCTGTTCTCAGGATGTTTTTCCTTTCTCTTCAGATGCAGCAGAGAAGACGCCCGCAGCTGCGGGCCTGGCTACTGCTCCAGAGAGGAAGCCACCGGCCAGACCCTGCAGGAACAGTGGGGAACCAGGAACACACCACAGACAGGTCCTGCAGCAGCCGCTGCCACCACCCCTCCACGCTCTACCTCCTGCAGCCAGCCTGCGGGTGTGCAGCAGCCCCGTGTAAGGCTTTACACACTCATTTCACGACAGAGAAGGGGACCCCCCCAGAGCCAACCTGACCCCCACTGTTATTTCCCAAAGACCTTCCTCCAGACGGAACCTCTCCCTGCCTGCCCATGAAGGAGACTTCCAGTGACTTCCAAGTCGTTGTGACAACCCTTTGGGACAGCTTAGGGACACGCTCCCAAGTGACTCCCCTCAGTTTTGCACATATGCAAATCACTGCCCCCATTTTTTAATTTCTCTTACCTGTAATTGTCCCGCTGGCACGTGTGGGAAGCAGCTCTCAAAGACAACGCTGAAGATTCATGTAATTTCTTTAACCTGAAGTGAGGTGTGAAAGCTTCTCCGTGGAGGTGCCACCAAGACTGATGGTATAGCTGAGCAGCCCACGGACTGCTGATGACTCCTGTTCTCCAAACCCCACACACACCAACCAGCAGAGCTCACAAAAACTCAACACAGCTGTGCAAACTGCCCAACTGCATCACGTTTGGGCCCAGCAATCTGGACCTCTGGAAAGACACGGGTCTTGAACTTGGTAAGCCTTGCCTTGTAGGAGTTGGTGAACGAAATGCACCACCCCTTCAGGACACCACCTAGCTCCTGTCACCCCACAGATGAGGTAAGACTGACACGAACACCTCTGATGTGTAACCTGAAGTGATCCACCTGAACTGAGATGAATAAACAGGCTGGTACCAAGAACCTCAGCTTCATAAACATGGAATCATTTCTGGCCAGAAGTCAAGGTAACCCTCCGCGATGCAAAGGCTGGGAGTTTGTTTTAAACAGAACCTTCATCATCTCTCCAGATAAAATGCAGAAATTTATTCACGCCTCTTGCAAGGCAAGTGGTGCGGTCTAGAAACAGAATTTGGAACAGCTATTTATAGAGGAGGTAGTGCTTCGTATTTGGCCTGAGGGAAGAAGTGTCTGAAATCCCACCCCTTTCCAACCATCAGGTGCCTTCAGCCACCTGGGTTCCTGTTGGAGCCAAGTCCCACTTGCACACAGATGTCCTTGATCATTCACGTAAGCAGAAAGGATCAGCTGACTTGAGGAAAGGGAGCCAACCCTACAGCCAACACCGCCTTTACCCCCAGAAGTTAAAGCCCTCTCCTTCCACGCCTCTTAAGGTGATCCAGCATGTGAACCACTGACCTCTGAGAGGGAAGCCTCCCCCCTCCCCAAAGCTGATTAGTAATAATCCAATTAACTGTGTACCAATCCAACCACCACTGCCTGCTTCTCCCCTGTTTGACATGCTGCCACCCTAAAGGACAGTTTCCCAAGGCACAACAGCTCACCTGGAACATGCTTCAGAGAACCCTGCACCAGTAGAGGGAAAAGGCAGCAGGGTCTGCAGAGATACTCAGTGACCAAATTCCCCCAAGGCCAGACTTCACTCCCAACAGAAGCGCCTTGCCAAACCTGACTGAGGCCCCCGAGATCTCTTCAGAGGTGTTGGTGGGTTACTGGAGTAGCTTTGCAAAGCAGTTTATGAGAAAACACGTTATCTTTTACATTAAATTCTAAAGGTCTCTCTTGCAACACAGCTGAGGGTTTGAGAAACATGAGGATTGCAGAGGGTTGCTGCCCCCGTAAGGCACAATCGCCAAGACACAGGCTGCTGTACTCCCACACACTTAAAAACCCCTCCTCTTTCTCCAAAATGAGGACTAATGCCTAAAAAAATGCTTTACCCACACCTCGATGTCCTCTCACACACATGTACACAAACACACCAATGAAGCGTGCTGACTACGTCCCACTGTTATATTCCACGCTCGTTACCCAAATAGAGATTAAAACCTAAATGACTTGTCCATTCCACCTTCTGCTACGATTCTCTTTATGTCAAGGTCCTTATTTAAGAACATAAATGTACCCAGGGACATAGCATGACATACTTAAGAGGAACCAAGTACTACCCCACACCCAACACGCTCAACCACAGCTTTGCTGTGGACCCACGTTTAAGAAACGTTTTAACACTGTCCCAACAACATGAGGCGTCGTCACAGACACTTTATTAAGGATACACTGGAAGCAGAGACGTGTTTCTTTATACTTTATTTTAGCTATTTAATTCTTAAGTATCAAGAATTAGGGTGCTTTATAGAATATTATTACCACAGGGCAGTGAAATGGGCATTTCCTTAGTGTAGTGCAAGTCATATTAAATGAAAAGCTTTTAAAATAATGTTTTATTACCAGCAATGACCAGCACTTAATCTGCTGACCTATAACTGCAACAATGGTTCAAAAGCACAAAAAAATACCCTCTGAAATAAAGCTTTATGTACAGCACATGTAGAGCTCTTAGGTGCCTAAAGCTATTAGTTTAATTTGTGGCATTAAACTAGTGTTGTGAATTGCTATTCACAGTTCAATATACTGGGCATTAAGTGTTCAGATGATCTCTTTTTTTTTTTTTGGAGTACAAAAAAGTTTGTCTGCTTTAGTTATAAAGAGCTCTACCAATATACACAAACTATACACTCCAGACATTCACAAAAAATGTGAGCAAGAAAAGGGTTATCAAAAACATTTAATACAATTAGTCAATAACCCTTCCCACCATGGTCCACATCTACAAAGTTCCCCCATCCCTCCCCCCTCCCCATCCAAACCCCTCCCCACAGAAAGTCACATACTTACCACAAGTTTTAGCAAGTATGGTTTAAAAAAGGGCCCCCAGGGCAAGTTACTTATAGTTCAGTTGCCACTGTCAACAGATCTGGACCTCGATCTGGACCTCTGCCGATCCACAGACGATGGAGATTTAGATCTGCTGGAAGAACCACGTTTCTGGTTTTTCTCTGGCACTGGAGATCTACTAACTGATCGGGACTTGCTATGGCTCCTACTCCTTGACCTGCTGTAGGACTTGCGGCTGCGGGAACGGGAACGGCTACGAGACCTGGACGAGCTTCTGCTACGAGACCGTGACCTGCTCCTGGACCTACTGGGGAAGCAAAGAGCACTGGTGTCAGCAAGGAAACGTCACACACCACAACAATAACCAGGCAATTCACCAGTCTCCAGTTCGGTCACCTGGCCACTGACTTCAAAACTTTCTTAGTGGAGCACTAGTTAGGAGAGTAGAAATCCATACCTGTGCCTTTTGCTGCCTTCGATTAGTTTGATTTTCCTTCCATTAATTTCTTTACCAGAAAGCTTGTCAATAGCATTCTTTAAATCACTGTAAGAGGCGAATTCAACCACCCTACAGAAAAAAACAGAAACAAAACCAGAGAGCTCACTATTACAAGTTGTATTTTTGATGACAGAGCAAAAACATACCCTGGGGAAAAAAAACCAAACAACTCAAAAAACACTGCTCAGTGTCATCAGCCCTTGTCATAACTCAAGCACGAAGAACTCCCCTCCCCAAATACCAGAGGAATGCATTTTCAAAGGGCAGCTAAATTAAACTATGAACAGCTGCCGAGCACTGAAAGCAGCCAGCTTCCCTCCCCAAATATTACACGTACAAATATTACTCTACAGCCTTCAAGAGATTATTTTAGAGACTTACCCTTCATTTAATTTAGGTCTGTGTGCGTCCGCAAAGGTTACTTCCCCAGCTTGTCTCATGAAGTCTTTGAGATCCTAACACAAGACCAGTTATGTTATGCAAAGAAGTGACATTAATACTTATCTATATAAAAATAATTAAAAGCAATCAAAAGAAACTTAAGACTACTGAAAGAGAAGCTGTTAGATAAATTACAAACATGGCAATCGCCATACTTGTATTCTACCAAAACTGAATTATCTATATCAGGGCACGAAATAAATGAAAAAAGCATATTGCTTTAAGCAAAATGCTCATAACGTATTTTAACATTAAGGAAAATATTAGTCTACAAAGATTATATAGATTAAATAAGAAAGAGAAAGAGAGAGAGAGAGAGAAAGAAATAAAAAAGTACATTTGTATATATATATACTGGACTGAGTGTGAAATACTACCCATAAATTTTTGTACTATTTCAGTCTCCATTTACATTAAGAATCTTATATGCAAACAGAATTACATTTACAAAACACCAATTATTTTGTGCCCCATATGTCATTAAAAATATAGTTTACTTTACCTTTATTAACATTTCCCTAGGCTAGCCAAGCAGCAAACTGCCTTAAGCGACCGGAGATACCGTCATGACATATGCCCGACTGGCTCTTCGCCACCCACTTGACGAACACTACCCAGTCGATGGAAGCCATTAATCGCACTGCCCTCCCTTATTAGGAGACTACTGATGGATCCAGACATTCTCTATGCTTGATGTTACCAAGGACCACTTTACTGCGATCAGGATTCCAACGACCACCTAATTTCGTATCTTTCAACTCTTTTCGACCGGGACCTCTTTATTCGGAAGCGTTACAGGAAGAACAGCTCTCAACTTAGGAATCAGATCTCGTTAACGCTCTGGGATCGTTGCAATGTGGCACTTTAAGGAGTGCATCGATTACGTCTAGACCGGCAAACACAGATCTAGAGGTGGCCATGTGACATTGTAGGAGCTGACTGGAAAGTCAACCAGGCCCAACCAAGAGTGACCAAGACAGAACGATTAGGATAACCCACAGGCACTCCTCGTCATAAGGCCAACGACACAGATAGGCTGGCAAATAAAGGGTTTAATATGTGGTTAAAATGGATTTAAAAAACAAGAAAAAAATAAATATATATCCTCTAAAATATACATTTATTATTATTAATATAAATTAAAATTAACTAATTTTCATTGAAAATATTTAAATTACGTTACTTAAAATTACATTAATTACATAAACAGTTTTAATAAATTATATTTAACGTTTAATTAATTATTTTACAAAATAATTACATTACATTACATTACATACCCATTAAATGAAGTCAAAATAGTTAATCGTGTTTCAACAAACCTGCCAGCTGACTCGAGAAGACAAATTTTCTACTATGAGGCGATTTTCTGTCCTTACAGGTGGAGCATTTCTGGTTTTGGAAATGAACAATTCAGACTTTTACTACTAATTAAAATATAACCACGCTAATAATAACAAAGGCTATACCAATAACCAATATTGGGACATTGCCATTACTACTACAATTTAACTACGGAATATCCTGAGTCATCTCAGACAAGCATTAAGTACTGTGGGGCAGGAAGCACAGACATGACAAGTGGAGCTGGTAAGTTTTGTAATCCTCACTATCCTACCACCACACGAAATGATTTGACTAAAAGGGCAAACGATGCCTTTTAATATCTCATTCTAGCTCAAGTTCTTGGATCAGATGACTCCCCAGTATTCTTTTTAAAACTATGTCAGTTCAAAGTTATACATACCTCCTGTCACTCCGTGGTCGGCGGCTACTAAAACGGTCAGAGTACCTCCCTCTGCCTCTACCCCTAGAGCGTGCTCTCGCATGCTCAATTGTAACCCTGCAGGGGAAAAGAAAAATAAATAAAAAAATCATATACGTTCACGTTTTTCTTCTTATATACTTCTTCATAGTTATAGAGAACACCACACAAAATCGTTCAAACAGTTCTGATAACATAATGCAAGTTATGATTTCCTATTTTAGATAGCCCAGTTTATCTATTAATCAAAAAGGGTGCCTCACCTCTCACTGCAAAGCTCTTTTCCATCCAATTCATAGACAGCATCATCTGCATCCCTTGGATCCTCAAATTCCTGCAAAACCACAACAGCAAAAGCATAGACGTAGAGAAAAAAAAAAAATTTAGATCTTTAAGAAACTGACAAACGCTTATTTGCCACTTGAGCGTGTTAAAAGCACGAACCCTGCGGTGGGGCGCACTCACCACAAACCCGAACCCCCTCTTCAGGTCGATGTCCCGGATGCGGCCGTATCCCTTGAAGAACCTCTCCACGTCCTTCTCCCTGGCGGCCGGGTTCAGCCTCCCGATGAAGACGCGGCAGCCGCTCATGGCTGTGGTGGTGGCGGCGGAGCTCGCTGCGGGAGACACGGCGCCCAGCCCGTCAGCTCCCCCCCGGTCCCGGCCCTGCCCGCCGCCCCCCGGCCCTGCCCGCTGACTCACGGCTCCGCCGCCCTCCCTGCCGCAGTCCCCTGCAGGCGGCCCGGCCCGGCCTCGCCCCCGCTCCGGCCCAATAGGAAGGAGCCAGCTGGGGCCCCGCCTTAGCCTGCACCAATGGCAACCCGACGTTCCGCCCGCAGCCCCGCCCACAACACGCCGACGCCCCGCCCCCCCTCTCCCAGCAAGGGGAAGAAAAGCCAACGCCATCGCACCGCCACAAAATGGCGGCCCGGGCCGCGCCCAACAGCGACGCCAACGGCTCCCCCATCCCGCGGAGGGCACCAGAGCGGCGAGAAAACCCGGCCGCCGCTCGGAGGCCGACCCGGCTGCGAAGCCGGGAACTCCCCACACCACCGACCCTGCTCCCTCCGGCGCCACCCGCGGCGCTCCGCAGGGAAGCGTTTCGCCGGGCCTGTCACGAACCTGTGCTGCGGATGTCGGTGCAGGGCTGTCGGCGCTGGGCTGGCGGGCGAACGGCTCCCTCCT